AAAGTAGATAAAAACAAGCAAATACCTTTCCTATTTGAACCCACTTGTCATCATGCGTTCGTTTTTTCCTGATATCCGAGCTGTCGATAACTAAATCCTCCGAGCACTCAAATACCCTAACTAGATATTGCACGTGCCGACTTTTCTTATTTCTTTTAATTTCACTTTGGCCACCCAAAACATCCAAAATTATGCCAACCTTCCATGAATACTGATAAAACACCTCAACAAAGTCACCAGCAAGATAACTCTCACTCTCAACACCTTTAACCAGAGGAGGCTGTGGCCTTACAAACTTCCTCGAAACCATCTCCACAGTTCGGTTACTCGACAAGTCGGGACTTGAATCGTGCTGAACGAGATAATTATGGCCAATGACAGATATTATCTTCCCGGTAAGCCACGAAATCAGCCCCTCCTTATTTTTCAAAATCTCCACTTTATCCCCTATTTTGAATCTCATGAGGAATCACTTTTTGAGCAAATACTAAAAAGCCTGTAATGGTAAAGAAAAAAACAATTAGCGAAAAATACTTGGGCTAAATCGGGATCGTAAAAGCCGACATAAATCGAGCGCCCCTGTATAATGAAAACTGTAACATTTTTTATTTGTTTTAGATTCAAGCTACTTTCAGCATCTCTTGATGAAACCAAGTGCCTGTCATGGATATCAAGAAAACTCTTTTTCAGAAAAAGCAATAAAAAAATAAGGATCCTTACATATCACATATATTCTTTAAAAAGAGCTGATCTTTTGAGATGATCTGTAAACAATATTATCAACTAAACCTCACCAGAAAAATATTACATCAAATTTCAACAAGTCACACACACAGATACATATATATGTTATGGAAAAAAATATCAAATTAACACTATGAAAAATGTAAATCTGCTCAAATCATCAAAATGAAAGAAATTTCAGCCAGATAACAAAGGAATGAAGCAAAAATAACCAAACAGAGCACTAATTGACAAAATCCCTAAATTAGAACAGCTGAACCTCGATCAATCAAGGGATTTTAAAGAATGAGAAATAAAACCTTAAATTTGAAAAAAAAGCACTAACCTTTACCGAAAATTAAGATGAAATTAAGAACCAGAGCTATCTCAATTAGGTGGATTTGATCGCTGATTATCTTAAAAATTACTTCTGATTTTCAGTTTAATCTAGGGTTTGTTTCTTCTGCTAAGGACAAGTAAATTGGGGCAAGAAAAAAAAAAAAACAATACTAAAATTGAAAAGAGAAAGAATGGGATATCCAATGGAGGGGTAAAGTAGGTATTGTGCTACAAATTGGTTTATATTTGACGTGCCCACATAGATAATCTTTTTACTTCATTCGAATACTTCAAAAGATATTTATTTTTAAAAATTATATAATTTTATATGAAATGTAAATATATAATATATTGTTGTACTCGTATTTTAAAATTTTAAATTATAGATATCTCTGAACCCGTATCATATATGCGACCTTAACTTTAAAATATATCTTACTTTATATTGTTATATATACAAAAAAAATATAAAATATAAAAATAAAAAATGTGTTTTATGCGCACACACAGTTATAAAACTACCTAATTTCGTGTAGAGATGGAAAGAATATAACATCTCACACACACACAAACACACACTGTCGTGTGATGCAATTTTTCTTGTTTCATTTTGGAGTGCACGTAATTTATAGGTAATTGTGTAATAAGTTGCTGTTCTAATGGTTTTGGTATAAATTCAATTTTGATGTAACATTTATTTTTTTAACAATTTATAAAATCCATTATTAAAAAGTCAGTTCCAATAACAGCGTTTTTCGACATGATTGTATTTGTTTACTACTCAAGGTTCTTAACAAAGTTCTTATTTGTGTGTTAATCTGACATTATAACTTCATTGGAGTTAATGCACTTTGAGAATACGGTGAAATTCATCATAAAAATATGTTTGGTTTGCCCAAATAGTTTTGTTAATAAACAAAAGACAAAAATGCAATTTTAATCCTATTGATTTTCCTAACGTTTTGGGAAAAAAATCCTATTAGTTTAATGTCATAATAATTTTAATTTCAATGTTCTAACTTTAGACTCTTTAGTCATGTGATTTAATATTTTGCTAGACTTCAATTTAAATTATAGGACTTAAATTGCAAAAAAAAAATTAAACATGACTTAAATTGCTAATAAAAAATCTAGAAATTTAAGAATTTATTGCAATTTCAGTCATTTTAAATTATAGGACTTAAATTGCAAAAAAAAAAAGTTAAATTACATGACTTAAATTGCTAATAAAAAATCTAGAAATTTAAGAATTTATTGCAATTTCAGTCCTCAAATGACTGAAATTGCAACAAAATATTAAATTACAAGACTAAAAGGCGAAATGTTGAGAACTTTGAACTAAAATTGCTATGATATTAAACCAGAACTGCTATTACAATTTTGCCTAAACAAAAATGATTCAATAAATAAAGATGTTGGAAATTAACAAACTGGAAAATAACTGTTGAAAAATAACATGGATCAAAAGTTTACGATCCCAGTGTGAAATAAGAAAAAATGGTATCAAACTTTCTTTCAGACAGACTACAATCAGCAGATATCTGTAAACCTTTAGCTAATACACATATCAGAGAAGAATTCGAGTCTGCATTTAACGAACGCCCACGAAAAACAATTCGTTGGGATGATAAAAGTCAAACAACAAGAAACTGACTCACTCTATGCTGTTTGAGTTGCGTACGAGACTCAATTCAAATTTCGATGATTGATGAGTAAATAGATACGCGAGTAAAGGCGCCACAACTCCAACACTCAAACTGTTTCCCAGCAAAGCATAACTGAGAGAGAGAGAGAGAGAGAGAGAGAGAGAGAGAGAGAGTTAACTGTAGTATATGTAAAAACATTTGGCAACAGCTATTAGTCTGTGAGTGCAGTTGGCAAACTTTTACAATCTAAAAGCTGATTATTTCAAGGATTTAACAGGAAATAAAAAAAATAATAATGTAAACTCATTTTCGTTCACTACGAAGCAAGTAAAGACAATTTCTTGGCATCAATCATTTCTCAACTGTATTGCCAAAAA